CCCCCCTCCCTCCTGCCTTCCTCCCTCCCTCCCTCCTTCCTTCCTCCCTCCCTTCTCCCCCTCTCCCTCACTCACCGACTAATATGATGGGCACGTTGGGGCAGAAGTTTTTAACCTCCTCCCCCCCCTCCTGCCTTCCTTCCTCCCTCCCTCCTTCCTTCCTCCCTCCCTTCTCCCCCTCTCCCTCACTCACCGACTAATATTATGGGCACGTTGGGGCAAAAGTGTTTAACCTCCTCCCCTCCCTCCTTCCTTCCTCCCTCCCTCCCTCCTTCCTTCCTCCCTCCCTTCTCCCCCTCTCCCTCACTCACCGACTAATATGATCGGCACGTTGGGGCAGAAGTGTTTAACCTCCTCCCCTCCCTCCCTTCCTCCCTCCCTCCCCTCCCTTCCTCCCTCCCTTCTCCCCCTCCCCCTCACTCACCGACTAATATTATGGGCACGTTGGGGCAAAAGTGTTTAACCTCCGGCGTCCACTTCTCTGGGATGTTTTCCAGGCTGTCTGGTGAGTCGATGGAGAAACACATAAGGATGACGTCGGTGTCAGGATATGACAGCGGCCGCAGCCGGTCGTAGTCCTCCTGGCCCGCCGTGTCCCACAGCGCCAGCTCCACCTGCAGGCAGAAAAAGCAATTAAGCAACGATCGACAGCTCGATTTTTGCTTTCTTATTTTACTATTTATATTTTACTTTTTAAAATTTATTATATTATTTATTCATTTATTTATTATATTTAACTATATATTATTATTTACTTATATTTACTACTTATATGGATTTTACTAGCTTTTATTAGACATAACGATGACATAATGGTGACATATTATTCGAGTAAAAATCACCATTTTCAGGAAAATCGGGGCCGGTTTAGATTTTCACGGTCACGCTTTTAGAATCTGTTCTCGAGACCGCTCCGCCGCGCTCTCGGGTGGCGCCACCTACCTGCTTTCCGTCCACCTCGATGTCGGCGACGTAGTTTTCGAACACGGTCGGGACGTACACTTCCGGGAACTGGTCCTTGCTGAAGACGATGAGGAGGCAGGTCTTACCGCAGGCGCCGTCGCCGACGATCACCAGCTTCTTCCTAATGGCCGCCATCGTGCGCTCGTCGCCTAGACAACAGAAGATGACAACATCGGTGAAGCCAGTTCGACTATTGGGGAAAGAGGAGGGAGGTGAGGAGAAGAGAGGGAGGAGGGGAGAGACCATCACACACGATCACCAGCTTCTTCCTAATGGAGGAGAAGAGGAAGGAAAGAAAACAGGGAAGAGGGGAGGGGAGGGAGGAGAAGAGGAAGAGATGGAGGAAGGGAGGAGAGGAAGGAGGAGGGGAGGAAGGGAGGAGGAGAGGGAGGAGGGGAGGGTAGGGAAGATGGGAGGAAGGGAGAAGGAGAGGGTAGGGAGGAGTGGAGGAAGGGAGGAGAGAGAGGAGGGGAGAGAGGAGGGAAGGAAGGAGGTGTTAACAGTTTCTTCCTAATGGCCGCCATCGTGCGCTCGTCGCCTAGGCAACAGAAGATGTGAACAACAATGCTACTAGAACACAAAGTTAACACAAGTTAACGAGTTAGTACGTTCGTTAACATTAGTTTTGTTGATGCTAACAGCGCGCCGCAGTGTTTCCACTAGAGTGTGGGAGAATGAGGTAATCTTTTCCCCGATTCCGTGGCAGATTCCGTTTTTTGGATCGCACAGGCGATGGCTAACAATGACTGGGCGATTTATTTCGGCAAATGACTTGGCTAGGATACGTTCAAGTCATTCGAGGCTCGATATATAAAGATTTCTCGATAATTAATTTCTCGATCTCAGCTAAAGCGGGCACCACACTTCACTATTTTCGTTGCTCGTACAGGCAATTTTCGTGGTCGCAACAAAAATGGCCAAGTGTGCAGGGGCCGGCAACGACCACTCACCATGGAAATTTAGTGGTAACCATGAGTTGCCGAGAATCAAACCGGTTTGATTTCTCACCACGAAAATTGCTCGTGGTGGCAACTTGTGGTGAAGTGTGCAGTGACGCGGCAACGGCCACAAAAATTGCCGACCACGAAAATTGCCTGTACGAGCAACGAAAATGGTGAAGTGTGCTGCTAGCTTTATACCCAGGGCCCGTGATGCCGCCTTGGAAACGAAATCAGTCTTAGCGTCAGCCCAAACATGAATTTTGTTCTTAATAATAGTCGACAGAATTCCATTTCGTAAAGCTACGAGGAAAAAATGCTAGGATATTTTCGTCATTCATTCTCGTATCTCGTCAACTCTCAACGCAACTGCATTTCTGTCAACCGTCTGAGAGAAAGAGTCAACATTGAGACCAACGTCGCAGGGTTTCTTACAGTGAAAAAAACAACACGGGGGCTCGGGACGATTTAGCCCCCCGAAATGCCAAAAAGAGCCCCGGAAATGCCAAAAAGAGCCCCTGGAAATTTGCATAAAGTTCAATGCAAACCAAATTTTAGAGTGCTATTTTCATGCACGCGAGCTTGAAAAGTAGCCCCCGAAAAATAAATTTTACTTTTTTCCCTGGTTTCTTATACATAAGAGGCACAGTGGCGCACCGCCGTTGTCATATTTAACATCGCTGTTGTGAAAATGGTTTCAGGGTGCCTCAAATGCAGTCTAAGACAATCAAATTTTTACAATTTTGCTGGGGGAGACTCCCCAGAACCCCCCCCCCAGCTCTCCCCCCGCGTCCGCCTGCAGCGTCCACATGCATGCTTACGGCACCGCCTTTGAATCCATCATGCGCCTTTTTTTCCAAACTGGCCATTACCTCCTTTGTCTAATTTTCCCTGAGAAGAAATCATGCGTCGAGAACGACACTTCGCAGAATACACACGGAAACTCCAGGACAGGTGACAGCAATGCCGTGGAGTTTCAACAAATCAATCTCTACCCTAGTAGCTAATAACATCAATGATCATAAGCCCGGCGCACACGTAAGTAATTTTACTCGAGTAAAATGATGCATGCGTCAAAATACTCACGTGTGCGCAGGATTTTCGTTGAGTTTTCTGCGCATGCATCAAGGAACTCAATATCAAACATGTTTGATAATTTTTGACTCGTGCATCAAAATACCCAAAGTGTGCGCGCTAGCTGCGTAAATTTACTCAACACTGGTACTCACAGTGCATGCGTTTAAATCATTTTAAAGATGACTGCGCCCAGTATCGGCTGCGCACAGTCACGTGATCTACATTACCACTTAGTAGTGGCACTTACACCTCGAGTAATTTTACTCACGTGTGCGACGGACGCTGAAAATATTTCGCGTGAGTATTTTGACGCATGCATTATTTTACTTGAGTAAAATTACTCACGTGTGCGCCGGGCTTTAGCTAGCAAAGTTCTACAATCACTGTATCTTCGCTACAATGTAATAACAGTCATAACATGTCACTACAGTGCCAGCCACCAAGGAGCTAAATATAACAAGGAGAGGAAGCAGATTGGCTGTGTGCTTTTCGCCTCAAGGGCGCCATCTATGGACCATAATCAGCTGAAACAGCCGTGCAGACCGAACCCAGAGACAATAGAACACTAATCTGGTCTAGGGTCTCTGCCGAACCCAAATTTGGGCCAGATATGGCGGCGCTTCCTCTCTACGATAGTAACGCGACAGTAGACACCGGGGCGCAAAGAAACCCGCTCCCCGTTTCCGCGGCGACGAAATAACGATGGCGACAAGATAACGACACTGTAACGGAACCAGGGGGGAGGCGGCATCTTTCTACTCACGTTGTTTCCGTCGATCCTTCTTGTAATCTGCGAAAAAACAGTTACCCATTGTCTCCTCCGTGAGGACACTGCCGCCGCACGCAGACACGCTAGGGGGCGCCACCTCGCGCCGCACCGGTTTACACTTAGCGGTTACTCGAGGGGAAAACACGTAAATGTAAAAGTATGTGCCTCCTTGGCGTGGGTGAGAGACAGTGACTAGCTCTGCCTATCTATGTACTATGATTACTACCTATCAATTTATCTATCTGTCTGTCTGTCCATCTATTCACCGTCGTGTCTGTCTGTCTAAATCTATCTGTCTGTCTATCTACTTATCTATTTAGCACTGTTCTATCTGTCTGTTTGTCTATCTATCTATCTATCTACCTATCTGTCTATCTGTCTATCCAGCTATCTATTTATCACGGTTCTATTCCGGAGCTAGTAGTAGTAGTACTGTTGCTAATGGTGATCCGTAGATGTGAACCACACACATGAACACTGACAGTGACAGTCAGGGAAGATACTCTCTGTTCTCTCTCTCTCTCTCTCCCTCTCTCTCTAGCTCTCTCTCTGTCTGTCTCTCTCTAGCTCTCTCTCACTCTCTTCGTTCTCTCTCTCTCTGTCTGGCTCTCTCTCTTTCTATCTAATCCTCTCTCTCTCTCTCTCTCTGTCTCTTTCTAGCTAGCGGTTCTCTCTCTCGGTGTGTTTTCCTCTCTATCTATCTCTCTCTCTGTTCTCTCTCTCAGCCTGGCAGTGGCAAGTCACCAGTTCCACACCCACAACAAACGCACGCTTGGAAGAGTTGTTGTTCTATATATATAGCTGCCAGCGGTGCCTGCCATAAGTAACCTGCGTTGGCAAGCCGCCAGAGTTGTGCAAGCTCACGCGCCGCGCGATTGGTCGCACGGCGCATGACGTCACCAGGCTATTTTTAGTCCATATATATACTGGCATGAATGGAGGCAGTGAAGTGTTAGTATGCGGTAGGCGGTGTACCGGTCGGTACAGGCAGTAGCTGTATGCCATACCTACGGTATATATATTAGGGGTGCAACGAATCACAACTTCACGGTTCGGTTCGGTTTTCGGTTTTCACATTTCGGTTCGGTTATTTTCGGTTCGAATATTTGCGATCAATTACAAATCTTATAACACCAAACAGAAGTGCAAATTTAATAAAATATATATTTGTGCATGTGTGATTCGCTTGTGTGTATATATACGTATGTGTAGACAAACCAGTGTACTATATAGTATATATATATATAATATAAATTGTGGTAGTAACGTTTAACCACAAGCACCTAATGTTAACACCGCGAAAAACCGGGTTTTAGGGAGCACCACCACCGAGATATACAGCATTCCTGATATTCAACCCGTCGTTCCGTTTTCCGTGCTCGGTTTTCGGTTCCACATTTTATAATTGCCCGAGTATATATAGCGTTTTGCAGATAATACCAGCCAGTGCGATTGGCTAGCACATCAAAACATCTCACGAGTACCAATCAGCGAGCCAGTAATGACACTGAATAGATCACCTTGCTACACATCCTACGACGAAGGTCAAGCGGTTCATTTGTCTGCAAAATGAACCCTATCTGTCGTATTTGTTCTGTTTTGACTGAAGTCCAAATAATTTGAATGTTAACTGTAGCAACTGACAGCATTCTATCTGAAATTTGGCCTACATTTGGTATTGTATATTAAAGGTTTGTTGTTCATAGAATTTGTCAGTGACATTATTGATTTAATTAATTTATAAACAGGTCCTGATTATTAATTTTGCACTTCTGTTCTGCTTCTACATCAACACAGATTTGTAATAGATCCGCACTATATTCGAACGAAAATAACCGAGATCAACAAACACGAACGATGGTCAAACCGAAATCCGAACTCGAAGCCGGCTGAAGTTGTGATTCGTTGCAATCCCTAATATATATACCGGTAGGTATGCCATACAGCTACTGGCTGCCTGAGCCCGACGCATACAACACACCGCCTACCGCATACTACACAACTTCACCTCCTCCATTCATGCCAATGTATACTATTATTGGACTACAAATAACCGTGTGACGTCATGCGGCCTGCGACCAAATCGCGCGCCGCGGAGTTCTTGCACACCGGTCTGTGCGGCTTGCCAAGCAGTTACTTATGCACGCGACTCGGCTTGGCAGCTATATATAATCGAACAACAACTCTTGCGAAGCGTGCGTTTGTTGTGGTGTGGGATAACTGGTGCCGTACCACTGCCGCGAGGCTGAGGAGCATGAACAGAGAGAGAGATAGATAAGAGGAAACACACCGCCGAGAGAACGAACGCTAGCTAGAAAAGAGAGCGAGAGAGAGACAGACACGAGAGAGAAGCATTATATGATAA